CTTTTAGATTGACCTACCCAATGAACAAAGCAAAAAAGCCAAGAAAACCACTAGTACGAAGAAATCCAGTTCAAACGTATGGAATCATGTATGTGATATTTGTTCGAAGAAATTTTTCAAGAAACACCGATACGAAGCTCACATGCGAACACATTTGGGCTTGAAGCAGTGGAAGTGTGACCATTGCGAGAGAGCGTTTGATAAATACACGTCACTGACGCTGCATTTATCGGCGAAACATTCCGAAGGAGAACAACCAATATTCAAGTGTGAAGTTGATGGTTGCGACAAGTCATATGCGATGAAGGTATTTCATGATTGAATTTTTGTGATCTTTTCAATTTCATCAAAAGCATTACGGTTTTCATAGAATACCTCTTTCAAAAATCCAATCTGTTTTTTTTTTCTTCAGTTCCTTTCAATAATGATAATTCTTGTCTCCTTTTTGCAGCAAACTCTTCGAGTACACATTCGCAAGGTGCACGAGGGCATAAAACCACCGCTTATCCCGAAAATCTGCGAACTATGTGGCAAATCATTCCAGAGTAATGCTTTACTCGTCAGACATTCTTATACTCACACCAAAGACTCCCCATTCAAATGTGATGTTTGTTCGAAAATGTTCAAATCAAAATACGAACTGAGCGATCATACAATGCGTCACAAAGGGATTAGAAATTTTGTTTGTCCAACATGCGGCCAGCGAAAGACAACCAGACATGATCTTCGGGTGCACATGAAATATCACAATGAAGAGGTTCAATTCCCTTGCAAACTCTGCTCGATGGTATTCACTCGTCAACCGAACATGAAACGACATATGAGAGTGGTTCATCTTGGTGTCAAGGCGTTCCCGTGCCCACATTGCGATCAAAGCTTTGGCAAAGCAGAAACGCTAAAACATCACGTCATGACTCACACTGGCGAAAAGCCACATGCCTGCTCCATTTGCTCCAAAAGGTATTTAATCATTGGTCGTCGCTTCTTTTCTGTTGAAATACATTCACACAATTTATTGGCTCTTCTCTTCTTGTTTCTTCTTCTCAAAAGGTTCATTCAATCCGTCGCACTGAAAACTCATATGAAAACGCATAATAAAATGAAATAAACCGTTTTATAGTGAACAAATTGTACATTTATTGTAAAGAAATGAAAAATATTTTGATTTTATTTTTTTCATGCAGTTCTATCTAGGAAGGTGATAATATTAACAAGGAAACAAATGAATATGTCAAGTAAATTGTTGGAACACGAATACAAACATTCGTGTGAACACGAGATGGTGTCTTAGTATTCTAATTGAAATTGAGCGTGTTCAATGAAATAAAAGAGAATCTTCATGAATACACACAATATTTAATGATCAACAACCCACTATATGCATTATGCAACGACTTTACTCCGATGGTCGTCCACATTTCATGGAAATTATTTATTAGATTGTGGTGTGTGTGTTCTTGCTGACACCGGAAGATTAACTACTTTTGGTGGAATTCCTTGAAAAAATTATGTTCTAAGTGTATCCGTTCAAAACTCAGGCCACAATTTCCAATGCATACTCATTACTCAATCTATTGAAATTTGAGATACACATATGATGAAACGGCAAAACTACAAATCGTTCCCCAGAAGTTTGCCTGTTTTCATTCGTCTCATTCTATGGATCATATCGCCATTTGTTTTTCTTGGACATGAAGCCAAGATGATTGCCGAATATTCAGATGCATTTTATGTATCCGTAAAATTCACAATTTATCTTTAATCGAACAGCGTAAGATATCCATTTTTTGGTTATACTCATTTTAAACCAAGATGCAAAATTGGGACAGATATGTACGTGCCATATATCGTTTGAATATGGATTTTGTCACATTTTAACAGCCAAATAGTATCGTGCTATAGTGTAATAGATACGCCAAAAAGGAATAAGTAAACATACTCCACAATTGAACGCCGTGCCAATATTGTAACATCATATATATCATTTACGCAAGCCATTTTATTTGCAGTGCAATGGAATGAGCACAGCAGAAAATGGAGAGAAAACGATGTTTTGTCTAAGTCCTTTTCATACATGAACTACCACCACCACGCAAAATATTGATAGAGACTGCAATCATAAGCGGAACCATAAAAATACATTGTATTGTGTCACAATAACCATCTTACGTTACAGCAAAGAGTAAATGTATTGGTTAAACCGAAATGTACCAAACCGATCGGTATTTTGGAGCAGAACCACTTGCATATCAAGAGCGAAATACATGCATGTTCTTTCTCTTTTTGTTGCATACCGACGGCGACGCATGTGTTTGTGTGCTAAAGCTACAAACACGAAGCTGCCTGAATCATTTATATTCATTTTTCAGCGCATTGAAACCAATTTTCTCAACGAAGAAAGGCGTAGCTCAGAATTGTTTGTTTTCAGTCGCCATTTTCAAATCGCAAACCTGCTGACAAAGATCGATTTGGAGTGAAGCATTTTTTTCATAAACATTTTCTAGAGACTATTCTACGGCCGATTTGTTTAAAATTGTGTTGTAATATCCACAGTGAGTAGATGAAGCGTAACTTTTGATTAAAATGATAGGAAAACAGTGATCATTTTTATGAAGAAATTAAAAAATCTAAAAAAAAAATTGCGCATTGGTTGAATAGCGTCACTAATTAATTGCGTTATGCGTTTTTTTTTCATTCCACAGAACGAAGTGACAGTGCAGCCATGCTTTGGGAAAAAGATGACGAAGTTAAAAAGTCAAAATTCGAAGAATTGAATGACGATTGTTGCTACGAGATTCTTCGCAAACTGCCATTGGATGACTTGTGCGCTCTCAGTTGCACGTGTGTTCGATTGCACAATTTGTGCTCGAAGCAATTCCAAAAAGAGTATCCATCGAAGGTAATGCGCATCGAAGGAACTTACTTTGATGGCAAACTGATAAAGCAACCAAACGAAGAGAAGTACATCTCGTGCTTCGACAAAAGCATCCGAAATCTTGTACTGCTGTGTAGTAGTGCAAATGATTTAGCCGCAGTGAGCGCGTTTTATAGACAAAATGAAGAAGTAAGTGGTGTTGTTAAGGAAATTCGCTTCCTACATTGGCGCGAAGTTATTCGTCGTTCTAGATTTCAAATGAAAGATGCCGGAGAGGTGCTATCCGATGTGTTGAAATCCGTCGAGACTATTATTTTTGATGATGTTGTTGTTTGGACCGATGATATTTGGGACGAAAATATTTTTCGCCATACACCAAATCTGAAGCGCTTGACAATTCGTAACGGCCAGTTGACTACCGTTCGTCCAATTAAATGGTTGCAAAAACCATATCCGAAGCTTGAGAGTCTTGAATGGTATGGATTTGAGGTTCCAGATGCAGAGGAATTAAAATCGTTTCTTGCACTCAACCCAAACGTACAACGTATTTCACTCTCCTCGATGGACGAAGAAGACATCAGCAAATTTATAGAACTGGATGTGAAGATAGACGAGCTGTTCTTCTCTTCCCTTGGTGATGATGCTTCAAACCTGAACACTTTGAAGGGCTTGTGTGATGTCCAAAATGTTAAATTGCATTTAGGGATATTTTCCATTAGATATCAAGACACCGATTTGATCTCACAATTAGAATCACTCCAGCCACACTTGGTAGGTCTTTATATGATGTATACCATTGAAGAACAGGTGGTCAGCACAATGGATACGTTTGAACACTTGCAGTGCTTGAGGATCAAAGTGACACGTTTACCGAAGAATTACAAGACGCTGATGGCAAAAATGCCCAACTTGCGTGAGATGTTTTTGGACCAAATTACCAAGGAATGCCAATTCAAAACAGTCCGTGGAATGATTTTGGCAGCTGTTGGTCAGTTAACGAAGCTAACGAAACTGTATCTGAGAGGGAGCTGGAAGACCTTGAAGAAAATGGATTTCGCTGCAGTTCACCAGGAGCGAACAAAGCTTAAAGGCGCAAACTTTTTGGAAATATTCATTGAATTGTTGCATCATCTCGACGTTTTTCCGCTTGAACGAACCAGCCGATATTTTGACTGCATGGCAATATATCCGACTGCAAGTGAGCCACCCAACAATCCATTCTTCTTCGATATATACAAGCTTCTTGCGGCGAAAAACGACTCAGGTGGTTATGAATGGGAACGTGTCTAGTAGCTCAACCGTAGCCGGAAGTTAACTTAGTAGCCGGAAGTTAACTTCAAATCAACTTGCAAGTTCCAAAAAGTATCAACTCAAAACGAACAACATTTTTACGTAATCTGAATATCAATTTTCATAATTTCATTACCCAATAATTTTTTTGTAAGCGTAAGTTACATGTAAACCATTTTTTCAGTTTTTTTCAAACTCAACCTTTTTTCTTTACAATAAATATTGAGATTTGCTCTCTAAAATGTCTGCATTCTTAATAATTTTCAATCGTTACTGTAATTTTCAGGCCCATCTATTTTCAGAATACTCTTCATTGTTTGTATTCTTGAATTTTTCATTTGAATTTAGCCCAAGCCAGCTAACATCCTTCAGACCCTTTGAACGCACTCTCAAACTGTCAAACCTATTTCAACTCAACTGTCACTCATTCAAACGACAAACGAAAATATCAACAAACGCGAGCTTCTGACTTGATTCTTTTCTGTTTGAGTTGGGCCCAAAAATAATTCTGATGGAAAACGTGAAATTATCAGCCGGCAAAC